CAATAAAATTTTTTATTGCTTTATCTGAAAGAGCATGAAAAAATAAGCCGATTGGCCGTTTACTGCTCTATTCTATCTCATCTGGTTCCGAAGTTATGCGCAAAAATGTGCAAAATATTAATTGCTGATTCAGCACAACGTGTGACGTCATTAGTTGGGTAAGTATGTTTATTGAATAGTAAACTGAAGCATAGCTCAGTTATTATTGGCTCAAATCAAATGAAATTTTGCATACAGATAGTACATGATGAGATGCATGGGAAAATACTTCTAATTTTGTTGTCAAGGCAACACAGTTGTTCCCAGGCCCCTTACATTGATTTTGAATAACTAGTTGCATTTATCTATGTGTATGTCATTTTCGAATTATTATCATGCAAGTAAACTTTTGGCATGCATAGGTATGGTACACATACTTCTGATATTATTTTATTCTTATAAGTACCATGAATAAAGCTGTTTTATAAAATTGGCGCAAGGGACCTGGGAACGACATTGTTACCTTGGCAACAAAATTAGAAGTGTTTTTCAATGCGTCTCATCATGTACAATCAGTATGCAAAATTTCATTTGATTTGGGCCCATAATAACTGAGCTATGCTTCAGTTTAGTATTCATTAAACATACTTACCCAACCAATGACGTCACACGTTGTGCTGAATCAGCAACTTATATTTTGCACATTTTTGCGTATAACTTCGGAACTAGATGAGATAGAATAGAGCATTAAACGGCCAATCGGCTTATTTTTCATGCTCTTTCAGATGAAGCAATAAGATAGATGAAGCAATTTTTGTTGCCAATACCCTTTAAATAATAAATACAACCCCATATGATTAAACCATATGTTATAAAAGGGTAAATTAAAGCATAATATAAATTAACCAGAATGTTGCTATCTACATAATATCTAAGTTTAGACAAAATTCCTATACTTCTTTTAATCTTTTTTGAAATGAACGTAATTTGTTTTTTCCAAGTTAAATGAGGATCGAAAAAAACACCAAGATACTTTATGTGATCTACTTGTTTAATGACTTTATTTCTTACCGAAAGTTTTATGTCTGTTAGTATATTTTTTTGGTAAGGATGAAATATAAGAAAGTTTGATTTTTCAACATTAAGTGATAATCTATTAGCACATAACCAAGTATCTATATTACTTAATTCTATATTTATATTGGTTTCAAGTTCAAGTAAGCATCTATTTTTGCAAAACAAATTTGAATCATCAGCAAAATGATGAAAATCGAAAAAATTAGAGCACTTATGAAAATCATTGATGTATAAAAGAAATAAGAGGGGTCCTAGCACTGACCCTTGGGGAATTCCGCAAGGGTCAGTGCTAGGACTAGATGAAATATTGTTTATTGAGATGAAATGTTTCCTATCCGTTAGATAAGAATCAAACCATTTTTTGGCAATCCCACGAATTCCGAGTTTTTCTAACTTTTTCAGTAGTATTGTATGATCAACCGTGTCAAATGCCTTACTAAAATCCAGGAAAATCCCACAAGAGTATTGTTTCTTTTCAATTGCTTGTTGAATTTTATCAACTATAGAAAGAATAGCATGCTCAGTTGAATAATGAGATCGAAAACCGAACTGATTATCATAAAGAATATTTAAATTCTCAAGGAAACTACTAAGTCTGTTATATATGAGTTTTTCCAGTAATTTGTTAAAAACAGAAAGAAGAGAAATTGGTCGATAATTATTTATATTAATTTGTAACCCCTTTTTGAATACTGGGATAACCCTGGTGATCTTAAACTTACTGGGTACTATACCTGCATGTAGCGAAAGAAGCATTGAACACAATTTCCAGGGGTTTCGATATAAATTGTTTCAAGATTTTAAGAATATTTATAGGAAGGCTGGAGGGCCCTGTTGCTTTACCAGGTTTCAGAGTTGTGATCATAGACTCAATCTCAGCCGATGTAGTAGGGGATAGATAGAAACTGTTAGTAGGGGAATAATTATGAATATAATCTAATGGTGATTTGTCGACTTTAGGTATTTCCCTTGCAAGATTTTTCCCTACGTTAGCAAAATAATCACCAAAGGCATCAGCGATCTTTTTGCTGTCGTTTAATTCCTGGTCATTATATATTAATTTTGTAGGATTACAGTTGCTATTTTTTTTTAGGTAGATAATTTGTTTCACACCGTTCCAAATTCTTTTTGAATCTTTAGAATGTTTAATGAAATAATTGTTATAATATTTCTTTTTGCTAATTCGTAACAAATGGTTTATTTTATTTCGGTATATTTTAAATTTAGAGTGATAATGTTGAGATTTTGTTTTTAGGTATTTTTGATAAAATTTGTTTTTTACATAAATCGATTTCTTAATGCCTGGCGTTATCCATGGTTTGGATTGAATCTTCAATTCTTTTTTAGATAAACGTTTAATGGGAAGGTGTTTATCAATAATTGAAGACATTTTATTTAGAAATATTTCAAACAGTGTAGACGGATCAGGATCAGTTAGAACATGTTGCCAGTTTATTCCTCGAACCTCGTCAATCAAATCAGGTTCATTGAACTTGGAGTAGTCTCTTCTGAAAATTTTAATTTTGGTATTTAGGGAAGAAAATTTATTTATGATAAGAAAATTAGGCAAATGATCAGTAACATCATAGACTATGTTACCGCTTAAAGTAAAATAATCCATAGAATTAAAGAAAATATTATCAATAAGGGTAGCTGTATGATCTGTTATACAAGTTGGTTGAAGAATATGAGGTTGAAAGAAGGACGTTCCTAAAGTATTAATGAATTCATCCGTGCCATTGTGAGTTTCGTATTTAAGAAGGTCTAAATTAAAGTCTCCCATTATTATGCAAAGTTTGTTTTGCCTCTGAATCGTATCTAGAGTTGAATTTATGTACTCCTGAAATTTGTCTACATTACCATGGGGATGTCTATATACTACTCCACACAATATATTTTGTCTTCGCTCTCCCTGTATTTCTACCCAGAGAGACTCGTAATCTTGCTCCGTTATTGTTAGGTCAGCCCTTTGTGTATATTTTAGATTTTTCTTAATAAAAAATCCTACCCCTCCAGCGTTAGAGAGGCTAGGCTGAGAGATATAATTATAGCCAAGTAGATCACAGTTCGTTATGGGGTCTTGATTAATTTTTAGCTTAATTTCAGTAAGCCCAATTATACAGAATTTAAAATACAGATCTTTTAGCATATTATTAAATGTATCAAAATTTGCAGATAAACTTCTTATATTACAATTTAGTACAGAAAATGAACTATTTCCTTCCAAGCAATGGGCAATATCTGGATTATCATGAAATTCATGCGAGTTGTAATAATTAAAATTAATATCATATGGCATATGTAAGTCCACATCAGAGTGTGTGAGATGAGGTGTATTTGTTGGAGATGAAGTAACTTCTAAGCGAGGAAACAAACTATAGTTCTCGCTCCTGTTGCAATGTGTAAAATTATAATCACACTTAAGACATTTTCTTTGCATGCAGAGGTAGCTAAAATACAAGGCCAAGGAAAAGGAATTCAAGTCACAGGGTTATACAAAGACTTACCGAAAAAATATAAAAATAACAGCGAACAATAGGGGCAATCAAGCAAGTCGAAATTCAGCAAACAATAGAGGCAATCAAGCAAGTCGAAATACAGCCTATTCAATAAGGCAAATGACTAATGACTTCGTAAAATTAAAATTAAAGTAAGTGAATATAAATTATATTTGTAAGTTGCTTAAATGCACCCGTAAATCGAGTAAACAAAAAGCAATTGCTAAGAAAAGGCAAGAAAAGACAATCAATACCTAAAAGCCAGCCCAGGCAACTCGAATATAAAATTATACTCTTAGTAGAAAAGCTCAATAAATTATTTGTCAAAGGTCATCACACACAAACATCAGACATATAAAAATTAAAGTTTAAAGAAATCTTTAGGGCTTTCGATTATAACCTTTTTTGATTATCCGCTCTTAGAGCTACAATCCTACCATCAATTGTCCACGACGACTGAACATTCCGATGTTTGAAGACTGCTTTGTACGTTTCCATCCGTCTCCTAGTTAGGCTCTCTGTGATTGCCATTCCCGTACCCTTGAGCTTTCGTTTACATCTGAAGACCTCCGATCTAACGCTATAGGCTACAAACTTAACGATAATAGGCCGAGATTTTTGACGTGACTGACCACCTCTTGCTTCGTGATTACCACCTCCGAGACCAAGTCTGTGACATCTATCCAGAGTAGAGGAATCCATTCCAAGACCAAGTTTGTTATTCACGACACCCAGGACAAGAGCCTCAGTGTTTTCAACAGAATTCCCCCGATCGCTACGTGTCTCTGGAACGCCGTGTATCAGCAAACAATTTCGTCTTCCGTACTGCTCAAGGGCGTCGATTTCCAGCACTAAGTTGTCGATATTGTCCTGAAGATTTCGGCAAGTCTGTTTAAGTTCAACGTTATGCTCTTTTATTACGTTATTATCAAAGACGAGAGATTCGTATACTTCTTGTTTGATAACATTTGTTTGATCGCTTAGATTCGTTTTTAAGGCATTCTCAAATTCTGGTTGCTTGGTTATAGTTTCTGCAACCTTTATGATCGTGTCTTTGTCACTAGATAGTTTTTCCACTATTAGCGAGGACACCGCTTCAGCAATTAGTTTAAGAAGATCATTATCCTTCATGATAATATCCGTAACTTGTTGTTTCAGCTGCCTCATAGCCACTGATGTAGTCGTGATAAGACGCTATTCAGAGCATTTATTTATTAGTTTTGTAGCTTTATAAAGTAAAATTATTAACCTAGGGCTGGCAAGTTGAAGTATTTAAACGTAGCGTCGAAAGACACGTCCGCTCGCCATGCCTGAGTTGCACAAAGCATTACTAAAGATACACTGAAATAATATGCGGCCTTGTTTAGTTGTTTCATATATGCAAAGGCCGTCGGGTTTTAAATTATAAAATCCATTATAAAATCAATATTTAAATCAAACTTACCTTCGTTAACGTCGGCTCACTTCTTTTAGCCGATTCTTTCGCCCTTTCTTTCTTGAAATTTACAAAATCTTGCAAAAATGCGAGCAAAAATGAAATATATTTGTGATATTTGCAAGAAATTTATCAATCATCAAATCAAGAAATGTTTGCTATTTCGCTGTCGTCATGCAGTCGTTATAATGCAAACTTTAAATTGGACCAATCAGTTTTCGCTATTCATGACAGTCCGCCACATATTTTGAGATCAGTGAGGATGACCACCCACCGAAACATCGTTGGTGAGCCACGCCTGCGATATTTGATGAACTTTCGATTTCGCTAATGCTTTCGTTTCCCCGGGTGTAAATAGCTGGGGAGAATTAGTACCCTCGCACGGCGCTTCGCGCCGTCGGCTCGGGGATTAATAGATTGTTGTCGTATGAAATTTAAATTTCTCCTGCAACATTTTGATTGGATATTAAATATAAACTTTGCTGTAGGTGGAAAGCGATCAGATTAAGGTTTGTGCTATTATTTGTAAAATAAAGTAGCAGTAATGCAGAAACGGGATTAATAATACAACATACCTTCTAAGCGGAAAGCAAAAGAGTCTATCTGCTGTTGAAAAATTTCATTGTAAGCCTCAGAGAAGCTGCTAAACAACACCCAACTGTGGTTGCTAAAAACAAAAGTTAAATCCCTCAATATTAAATCATTCATATTATAAACTATATAGTGCATACATTTTGGATTTTACAAAGTAAACTTTAGAATTTGAAATTACCTCAATGATGGAATCCAACGGTACAAGGCGATGTCGAAGTATGTAACGTTGCTCACTTCTACCAAACGATTGTGGTTTTCTACATCTGCTGGATACAGATGTGTCCCAATTTCGTCGCTGTAATTGCACACTCCAAAACGAATAAGGCAATTCTTGCACTCAAGAGAGACCTTCGCGCAAAGAACAGGGCCATCCAGGGTATACAAAGTTGCCTTTGACGGGAGGTTATGCATCGTGAGGAGTTTGTCGCATCTAATGCACGAGGAAAGCGGCGGTGAAATATATGTTTCACTTACATGCTTCGTCAAATCTTCGAGGGCAAGGAAAGACGAACACCAGCGTTCCAAAATTAGTGTATAGCTCGAAAGCTGATCAACAGAAGGCTTTAGTAAAGGCTGGCAGTTGGTGGAATGCATTAAACGTATCCCATATCAAATTTGCTCATAAGGACTGACCCGCCATCATTCTCTTCACATTTGATGGAATATTTTTGATAGCTTTCCTAAGAATACATACACCTTGAAAGGTCATCTTGGCAGAAAGAAGTTGAAGCGTTTCCGACTCCGTTAAATTTAGACAACAGCATGTCGGCGAGATCAAATTGTTGAAGCGCTTCGATTTGGTCTTTAACTCGCTTCACGCAATCATTTTCTTCGCTCACTCTCTTCCTTGCATTGTCAATATCGAAGAGACCTCCGATGCGTTTTTTCTTCGACATTAGTACTATTTAAACTCTTGATTTTAAGCGAAAAAAACCTGTGTTATTTAGACTATGGTGCGCTGGCACATGGCGTGAATGTATTAAGCAATGGCGCGCGTTTATCAGGAAACTGGTATCGAGGTAAACACCATAACACAGCTTATGCATAGCACCTTTAAGGTCTTTCGGCAAAGGGCATTTGGACATTCGCCAAATACTCATATTATTCAAATACTATATTTTATTCATTCTAAAACTGTTTATAGTCTATAAAGACTGTGTAGTATGCTACTGATTTAAAAAATATTGATACTTTGTATTAAACACCTTAAAAAGGTACAAAAATTGTTAGAGAATCTACAGTACAACTGTATGCTTTTCCTTTTCTGTCTGTACGAGTATGTTGTTGAACTGCATTTGAAGGCAAAATATTGCACAGTATTTTCTGTATAATTCTGTAGCCATTTATCCCGCCTTTTATACCTTGCCACATGAATAATAACAGATAAGGTTTAGCAAAGTATTTTTCTATTATATGTGCATGGTATGAAGTGTCTACATTTTGTCAGGGATATATACATAATTCATAAACTTTATATATGCACAAAGTCTAGCACAGACATAGCATTACTTTTATACTTTATGAGAAGTTTCACACTTTACTAAAGTTTCAATTGATAGGTTGTTTGTCTTCATTGTGGCATAGTTGGATGCTAAATGTATTACATGTAAGACAATTTGATCTTGCTTGATCTCATGCTATTCCCTGACAAAATAAAATTTAGGGCCCATAACCTGTTGGGTTTACGGCAGTTGCCATTCTTTATAATACAATAATTCAACTTCACATAAGTTTTATACAGATTTATTTCACACAACAGACAGAATACAACTAACAGTTTTATAGTGATTTATACATTATTTACATAGATAACGTTTTACTGTGATTGGTCAGTTTATCACCAAATATGGTAACAAGTCTCTGCTCCCTATTCATATGTAACTCAATATCATTTCAACTAACAAACAATATATCTTTTCTAATAGCATGAATATATAGTTATTTAGACTTTCACAGTTATTTAGACTTTCACTTTCAAATGACGTCACTCTATTTCGCATGGTTCCGCTTGGGTTCCTCATTGAAAAGGACTTTTCCAGCCTGTTTCCTGCCAATTCACCGGGGCAGAATTCACTGGTGACATTACTCAAACTGATTAAATTCACTCAGCTATGATGCCATTTTGTTTTTATTGAATTTCTGAAGGTATATATGTATAAAAAGAAGACAGTGTTTATAACATAAACAGTATAAAATGTAGTCAATAGAAAAGGCATACAACATGTTTTGACAAATTGGGATACCAACACACGAGACGGTCAACAACAAGTGATCGAAGCTTATCTCAAGGGTAAAGATGTGTTTTTTTGTTCTCTGACTAGATTGGGCAAGAGTTTATGCTATGAAATTGATCCGTACATTTTTTATTTCATATTATTTAGAAAGAATTCTGTTAGGGATAAAGATCGAATGGATCCTGTATGTATCGTGGATCCTGTATATATCGTCTCCTTTGATATCATTGATGCAAGATCAAGTGGCATTTTTGTGTAAAGGGGTATCAAAGCAATTCAATATTGGTGCCGACACTACTTCGCAAGAAGGGGATGAGGTTAAAAGCGGAAAATATAATTTGATATTTGCCAGTCCCGAGGCACTGCTGGAAAACTTAAAGATTCTCTTAGAGCTGTCTTTGTCGATGAGTGTCATATCGAATAATTATTTGTTACGAAGACGGAAAATGTTACAGTAAAGACCATGTTAAGTGAACTTAAGTCAGTAATGTAAACAACTGTGAGTAATGTGAACTGTTTGTAATGTAAGACATACTAATTCGGTTCGCAATTGTAAATGAATATAAACTACACTACGTTTTAATAATAATTCAATTCAAAAAGTTTGAAAGATGCAAAATTTGGGCAATGTTTATATCTGTGGGTCCCCCTTTGTTATGAGCAGAACTGATGCGTATAATGGACTTGACATGGTCTTTAAATGGTCCTGACTCATGGTCCTGACTCATGGTCTCTTCGTTTTTGCCAGTTTTAGGCTCAACATGTCCTTATTTTGTTGTTATTGTACACTCTGCTGTAGTTCTGAGGATAACTTGTTCAAAGATATATTGTCATATAAAATAGCTCATAAATGTATAATATACATTTACTGACATACCTTCACTGACGAAAATTCATCTGATACTTGAACAGCATCAGTTTGTGTCGTTTGCTCATTTGTTTGTGAAATGGGATCACAGGTATATTGGAGAGTTCTTGGCAACTTTGAGAAGAGTCTTCTTGCGCAAAAACAACCCACCTCTTGACGGGATTTTTAGATGTATCTGAACTCCCAGAGGTTTCTTTCTCTCCCGTTTTGTAACTGATTCAGATTGTTTTTCAGCCAAGCGTGCTGTAGTTAAATTAAATTGTTATATAGCTAGTGTGAACACCAAACGTGATTGGCTGATTTGTAGTCACATGGCTTTAGATAAATGCAATGTATCCCGCCCGGGCAATAAGTGAAAAATTGTTGCCCGCCCCGACGGGCTGCGTACATAAATAAACAAAATGGCGGCACAAATTTATACTGTTTAAACTACTGTTTTCGTGGCTTTGTGTTAAAATAAAGAATGTAAAAGAGAAGAAAAATACATAACACGCAACAGGATATGCTGCTGAAACCATTTAAGTAGGTTTTTAAAATTCTAAACTTGTTTACGCTATAGAGTTTTTGTCATGAAATACAAATATTGTTGTATGAATGTTGTTCAATGTTGATATTTGTTTCGTTGCTATATAACAAAACACTTAACGTCTTTTCCCTCGGGAAATAGTTAGTTTTGTTTTCCCTCGAATCTCAATGTTTCCCTCGACTTCGTCTCGGGAAACATTGAGATTCTCGGGAAAACAAAACTAACTATTTCCCTCGGGTGCAGACATTAAGTGTATATTGCTCTCTTACAGTGTAAATTTTAGAAATTAAACAGGCGTTTTTTTCACTGCAAGATCGACAGACTATGCCTGATAGGCAACTTTCTTTGCCTATGATAACTCCTGCAACTCTCTCTAAATTCGCACATGAATACTCTCTGAAGAAAAGAACCTTAAATATGTTTTTGTTGGTGTTATATGATTTTCCATATCTATTGTCCAGAGAGTAATAAAGTATAAATACTTAAGTAATAGATATAAATAACACCACCCATATTAATTAATACCCAAACATGTGAAGATGTACATTTCACGTTTTCGCACCAGAATAATTAATTAGACTGAAAACTGTGCAAGCAAAACAAGTCCGCCTCCTTGCGCTGCTCTCAACTTGCCAGATTGTAAAAGATATTAATCAATTATGTAATGCATATAAGACCACAACTTAATGCTTAACATAATTGTTTTATATAAGAAACTAAGCAGGCATGAGAAATCAGAGCTGTATGATACAGACTTAATCAGAATGCGCAATAATTATCACTTATTTACTGAGACCGCCGTTGTTGCCCGAGGTGAAGCCGAGGGCAACAACGGCGGTCAAGGGGCCACAAAACACACTGCTTTCCCAAAGTCTCAGTAAATAAGTGTTTTGTTATATAGTATATAAATGTCACCATCGGAGACTCCAAGATCTTTATCAACGAATCATTAACTAAATACAGGAAAAGACTCTTTGGGCGAATTAACGAGTTCAAAAGAACAAACAAGTGGAAATATATCTGGACCGTCAACGGTAAGATCTGTTTATGCCAATCTGAAAACTCTACAGTGTATAACTTCTCAACAAACGAACAATTTGAGGAGTTCCTTGGCTAAACATTAATTAATTAGATCAATTTATTATCGAACTTAAACTAGATTTAAAAAGTAAAACTTGCTATGTATAATGCTCAGGAACATATTTCAAACTTTACTAGAACCGATATCGAATCTGATTTATATGATATTTTACCAAACCCAGATAAATTTGACGAAAATGACCCTGACATTATGCTAAATAATGTCGTCTCTCAGTATTATGCTGCGCCTGACTTAAATTCTTTGTTAGACCAACAAAACAATAACAAAGCCTTCACTTTTTTTCATTGTAATATAAGAAGCTTGCCGAAAAATATGAACCTAGTAAATGAGTTATTACTCTCACTAACCAAAACACCCGGTATTTTAGCCGTAACCGAAACTAGACTTAATCAACATTCTGCTGAGAATGTTGAAATATACAATTATAACTTTTATCATACTGATTCAAAAACTGCGGCCGGTGGTGCTGGAATCTACGTATCTAAATGCTATAAAGTAACCGAAAGGCCCGACTTAAAACTTAAATTAGACTTAGTTGAGTCCTGCTGGATTGAGGTGGATACTGGCATTAAACAGAGGAAACCGATTATTATTGGCTGTATCTATCGGCATCCCAAATCAAATCTTGAATTATTTACCAACAGAGTAGAGGAGACACTTCGCTTTCTCAATCAAAGCAAATATGAGGTCTTTATTTTGGGTGATATTAACGTAGACCTCTATAAATATGCAACACACAATCCATCTGAAAAATACTTAGACATGCTTTTCTCAAATAATATGACACCAATCATCACTAAGCCGACTCGATTAACTGATCACTCTGAAACCCTAATTGACCACATTTACACTAATGCTCCGACTTCGCAGGTATCCTCTGGGATTGCCTTATATAATATCTCAGACCACTTACCTGTCTTTTGTCTTTACAACACACCTATTAAAAAGAATCACGAAAAACAATTCTACAGAGACTACAAACACTTCAACAAGGAGTTATTTTTAAATGACCTGAATTCAACTGATTGGAATTCCATTTTGGAAAATAATGATAATCTAAATACGCGTACAACTGAAGTAGTTGAGACTATTAACCAAATAGCTGACACTCACGCACCCATTAAACAACTACCGCGCAGTAAACACAAACAATTCTCCAAGCCTTGGTTAACTGTTGGCATTCTTAAATCCATCAAAACAAAGCAAAAGATGTATAATTGAAAGATTTTTTGAGCAAAATTCCAGACAAAATCCAAAAATTTAAGACATATGCTAATAAACTAAATAAACTAAAATCTATCAGCAAAGTTAACTATTATACTGGTCAATTTGAAAAGAACAAAAGCAACTTAAAGAAAACGTGGAAACTTATAGGAACGTTAATTAAGCGGAAAACAAAAGGTCAATCATATCCTACAAAAATAATCAGAAATAGTATGACTTATAGCAAAAAGAGTGACATAGCAAACCAATTTAATGAGCATTTTATCAATGCTGGCCCGGCGATAGCTAACTCAATCCCCAATACTGCAAACAGAAATTATTTATTTATTTATTTATTTATTAACTTTACAACCATACATAAAATAGACTAAAAAAACTACATAATATGGTTGAAGGTATGGTCAACAGGACATGAATAGCCCCATATGAAGACCAACCTTAATGAAAACAAACTATAACAAACATAAATCAAAGACGATAACAAATATAAAATTTACAGAAAACATGACGAATTACGAACAACAGCTTAAGTTGAAAGAGCGGCACTTAGAACAGAAGGTTTTCCAAGTGCGCATTCTGTTTACATCGAAAGATGAATGAAGTAGAGAAGAGTAATGAACAGTTAGTCTGTTTTTAAAGGAGGAAACGGATGAACTATTATGAATGGTAGGAGAGAGATTATTCCAGAGAAAGACAATTCAGTTGAAAAAAGAGTTCCTAAAGAGAGAAGTCCTGCAATGATTGACACGAAGCAAGTTGTCCGAACTTGAACGGGTGTGAGACGAGCTGTTTGAAGAAAAAGTGACGAAAGAGGAGATATCTAGGTCGAAGAGACCGTGCTTACATTTAAAAAAGAAGACAAGATCCTTTAGTTCCATCCAGTAGGATATTGGTAATAAATTAAGCTTTTTAAGGCGTTCAGGATATGGCAACAAAATCCACTAGAATATATTAATACTCCCCCGGAATCTAGTTTTGCAATGTCTTACGTTATTGAAACACAAGTTTATGACCTACTCTCTTCTCTTGACCCTAATAAAGCCTCTATCCATATACCTAATCAAATGATAAAAATCGGCGCTTTTATCATTGCCCCAATTATCACAAACTTATACAATGAATCTATCTCAGAGGGCATTGTACCTGACATATTAAAAATCGCAAGAGTTACACCAATCTATAAAAGCGGAGTAACTACTGATCCCACAAACTACCGTCCTATCTCTATACTCTCTCCCTTTGCAAAAGTACTGGAAAAATTAGTCCACAAACAGTTAGAATCATTTCTTGAAAAACATTCTTTGCTCTTTAGTCACCAATTTGGCTTTCGTAAAGGTCACTCAACGGAGCAAGCAATTCTCGAAATATCTGATTACTTAAAAAACAAAATAGACGAAAAAAAAATTACTTGCGGGTTATTTCTGGACTTATCCAAAGCATTCGACACTGTCAACCATAAAATTTTACTCGACAAACTAAACAAATACGGAATTCGTGGAGGCCCGCTAGCCTGGTTTAGAGATTTCCTAAGCAACCGAAAACAGTATGTACATATAGATAACACCGATTCTGACATGCTAACCTTAACGTGCGGTTTACCTCAAGGATCAACGCTTGCTCCATTATTATTTCTGATTTATATTAATGACATGCCAAACTGTTCTACGAAACTCTCATTTAGACTTTTTGCTGACGATACTAATGTCTTCTACTCCAGTGACAATGTTCAAGATGTAACTAAAATCATGAGCGAAGAATTTATTCAAATCCTTGACTATTGTTCAGCTAATAAACTAGCTATTAACTTTAAAAAAACTAATTACATGATCATTAGTTCACATAAAAAACAAATATCAAATGTCAGAATTCATGAGATTGAACAAAAAGACTACATCAAATACCTGGGCGTCTATATTGATAAACACCTTAAGTGGGGCCAGCAAATAAACCACATAAAAAGCAAAATATCTAAAAACACTGGCATCCTTAATAAATTGCGATATTATGTGAACCTACAGATGTTGAAACAACTCTACTATTCCCTAATCTATCCATCTCTTAACTACGGAATAATGAGCTGGGGAAACACCTATACTACCCATCTATCCAAAATTCGCATTGCTCAAAATAAATGTGTACGAAACATTTTCTTTGCGCATAAAAGAGAAGATGCCAGTACCTACCTCAATCTATTGGGAATACTCAACGTTGACAATGTTTTTAAATTGAAAATTGCAATTTTTACATATAAAATCCTTAACAACTTAATACCATCAGTTTTTGCAAACTCCATATCCATCGCATCTACCTGTCACTCGTATAATACAAGATTCGCGGCAAATCAAAACTTTAGCAGACCAAAAGCGCGCACAAATTACGGCAAACACACGTTTCTTTTTTCGTCATCCAATATTTGGGAAACGATAGACCTACATATTAAGCAGTTAGAATATTTAGACTTCAGTTAGAATATTTAAATCTAAATATACAAGAAAACTTATCCTAAGCCAAACGTAGAATCCAGACACTGATCCAGCCACACCAAACACGTCATGTTCTTTTTTCTCAATTATGTAAACAGTCACAAAACAACAATTTTGTAAACGGTGGCCAACTCGAAAGCTTCGCAGCTACTTTGGCCACTGTACACGATACAATACCATAATTAACTCCCTTTTTTTCCCCTTCCATTATGATTTTTTTGTGATGTAATTAATGTCTAACTATATCTTTTGTAAACGTGTGAAATAAATTTGAATTTGAATTTGAAAAAGTATGAATAATTCACCAGTTATTGGAGTGAACTTAATTTGAAACCAAAACTAGATAAATGGAACGCCGTAAATGTTTAGTAAATGAACTCTGGAACTTCGCGGTTGACACGCATGCGTATTGCACCCATTTTATTATTGACCTGCCAATAAATGTTTGGCAGGTCAATAAATGTTTGGCAGGTCAGGTTTCGGTTGCCAATCATGACGTTTTGTGCACCGGCACATGACACGGTTTTGACCAATTGGCAAACAGAAAAATTGAACTTTGACACTAACTATATAACAATCAGCTTTATTTATCAAAGTTCATAGGTCGGCTGTTGCAAAACATTTGTTTATACATTTGAAAATTTAATGGGCCAATTTTACTCAAAACGTTCGTGGCTTACTTCTTCTCTGGTCGTTATTCTCTAAAATAATTCTGTATACCTAGAATCAATATAAACTGGGATGTCAAACTTGATAGCTTGACAATCTTCTGTATTACCCTGTCAAATAATCAAGACATGCAAAACATTTTAGATGCTATATACTTATGTTGGTCAATCCATAAAAATATAATTTTCCCAATGTCAACTGTTGAGTAAATCGCACACAAACTATTCCAGGAACATACATTACTGTAACAAACACCACTCACCAAAGGCCATTCATCAGTAGAGCATGTTTTGAGAATGACTGTATGGACGTACAGTTAATTGAAAATATAGAGAAGGTACAGGGAAGAAGAGCAACCAAATTTATTCTTAATCTTGGGTTTGTCACCAACATACCATATCCAACAAGACTACATAATCTAGACCTACTACCCATAATTTACTGGCATGAATACCTGGATATATTCCTACTCTATAAAAACATTAACAATTATACATATATTGACAACACTGCTCAACCGGTTATATCAGGATCAGGAATCACTAGAAGTGAAACTAATCACAATCAAATTAAATTCTTAATACCTTATGCCAAAACTGTAACGATCCAGCCTCATATTTTATTAGAGCTTGTAAAACCTGGAACATCCTAAGTGATAATCTTCAAGACAGAAACGTTGGTTTTTATGCTTTTTAAATCAGGACTGAAATTGTATTATAAGAACGCACTATCAAAGACATATAACTGTGATGATCATCGAACTTGGAAATCTGTCTGTGTTAAATGTAAAAGGGCTAGATCCCTTGATGGTTTTTTAAACTGTTGTTAGCTGTCAGTTTAGCGATTTTGTAATTGTGTTGTTCTACTTAGACTGTTTTGTTAATCAATTATTTGAACGTAATTCCCGAACCAACAGCGCAGAGCGCCGTTCCAGGCGTAAGCCCGGGCGGGGTACTAATTCCGTCCAGCTATTTACACCTGGGGAAAGGAACGCAGTAGCGAAGTCTAAAGTTAATCAAATATTGCAGGCGCATGGGTGGTCATCTCACTGATGGCTGTTTTGCCAGATATGGCTGTTTTGCCAGGAGTGAAGAAGGCGAAAATATGAAAAATACATGTAAGAAAGCTTGGAAAATCGTTTCACATAACAATTTGTAAAACTATGATTTTTTTCTGTGTTGGTGTTGTGTACTCAGGTGAATATGAAGTTTGTGATGTTACTCTGAGTGTATATCCACACCGGGTGAGCTTGAAAAATATGCCCGGCCACGGTGGGAATCGAACCAACGACCTTTGGAATACTAGCCCAATGCTCTGCCAACTGAGCTACGCGGTCAGGACAGTTCAAGTAAGTCATATTTCAGAACAGAATCTAGTTCCTTCGATACCAATCTTGTAATATGATTTTTTTTCTGTGTTGGTGTTGTGTACTCAGGTGAATATGAAGTTTGTGATGTTACTTCATATTCACCTGAGTACACTTCATATTCATCTGAACTTCATATTCACCTGAGTACACAACACCAACACAGAAAAAAATCATATTAGAAGATTACATTGGTATCGAAGGAACTAGATTCCGTTCTGAAATATCACTTACTCGAACCATCCTGACCGCGTAGCTCAGTTGGCAGAGCATTGGGCTAGTATTCCAAAGGTTGTAGGTTTGATTCCGACCGTGACGTTTCAAGCTCGCCCAGTGTGGATATACATTCAGAGTAACATCACAAACTTCATATTCACCTGAGTACACAACACCAACACAGAAAAAAATCATATTACAACATTACATTGGTATTGAAGGAACTAGATTCTGTTTCGAAATATCACTCGAACCATCCTGACCGCATAGCCTAGTTGGCAGAGCATTGGGCTAGTATTCCAAAGGTCGTAGGTTCGATTCCCACCGTGGCCGGGCATATTTTTCAAGCTCGCCTGGTGTGGATATACACTCAGAGTAACATCACAAACTTTAATTTGTAAAACTTTTTAAATTTTTAAACATAAACATTGATAGGAATTGATTTAGTATGAGAAATTCTAAAGTATAGGGCAAGTTTGTTTCAATTGTTTATGTATGACTTTGTATTGTTATAGACTTTGTTCTGGTTGTTTAAATCTTTCCTATGCATTGTTTAAATCTTTCCTATGACAAAAAGGAAAGCAAATTATTTCATTAGCATCCTGTACAAATTAAATTTATTTCATTTCAAAATGCGACTTGATTTCAATTCACATTTAAAAACAAAAGCCCATGGAAAACAAAATAATACACCTACTTTATATATTTTAGAAATCGATAGTTCTGTATTTAAAAGTGTTCAAAAGTTTCATCTATTATTTGCCGGTTTGTACAAAAAATTTAAAAAATTATCATGTTGCCATGACTACATGACGTGAGCAACGCGAGCCTGCATTCAGTGTTGGCATAATTAGGAATACTTCATGTTGAAATAATGTTTGGAGAATATAAGCGAGGGGTTGTTGCATGCATGTATTTGTAGTTTTTACGTAAATATTAAAGTGCCTATGACACGAAATTTCACCCCAAATGTTTATGATTGCATTGTAAAGATCACTTGAAATAACTTAATAATTTCTTTTATAGAATTTTGGTAACTTGCTTCCTTTGCAAGATATTCAACTTTGTTTAAAATGCAAATATCACCGGTGTGACATCACATAGCATAATGAGATTTTGAAAACGCAATATTTTACCTTGATAAAATATTTTTACAAACAAATACAGAGGGTTAATGACCAGTTATGAAACAAATACATATACAAGGGCAATTTTTAAGTTTTATAGATACGTATTCATCAAGAAAACTATACTTTTCTGAAAACTCATTATGTGATGTGATGTCACACCGGTGATATTTGCATACGAAACAAAGTTGAATATCTTGAAAAGGAAGCAAGTTACCAAAATTCTATAAAAGAAATTATTAACTGATTTTAAGTGATCTTTACAATACAACCATAAACCTTTGGGGTGAAATTTCGTGTCATAGGCACTTTAAGGGTTGCCGTAATTGGGGGAACTGTGGCGAACTCCCTATTTCATAAAATTGTTCAAGTACATTTCTATCATAAAGCTGACGTCAACAACGTCTCATAACTTTGTATCATTCTGATGGTTCTACAACATAGGTGTGATATCTTAAGGTTGATAATGGCGGCACGCATATGTGTTGCAGTTGTAGTTCTGTCTTTATTGCTCCTCTATGTTGTTAAATATTAATCTAATTCAACTATTACTGAAATGGAACGTGGATTTATTGTTTGTCAGGAGGTATGCTGTTTACCGAGTGAAATATTTTCACAGGCAATTAAACTACTATGCAAACTGTACATCTTCATTTAATCCTTCTTTGGAGATCATAACTCTGAGTGAAGATGTACATCCCCAACCAGGTCCAGGCACTAAGACATTTTATAGGACAATAAAATGCTTATACATGAATGCCAGAAGCATAGTCGGTAAGATTACTGAGTTGCAAGCCACAGTCACTGACTTTGATTGTGTGTTTATTACTGAAACATGGCTTAAACCACATATACTTGATTGTGAACTTCTGCCTGGTCTGGATTTTACCATCTACCGACAAGATCGAGATATAAGAGCAGGTGGAGGTGTTATGCTTGCTGTTAAAAAAATATACAAAGTTTTCGTCGGCCTGACCTTGAGTAGAGTGCCGAAGTACTGGTGTGTGAATTGCGCCCCGAAGGAAAACGTAAAATCTTGGCAGTTGTATTTTACAGACCACCAGATACTGACTTAGACTACTTGAAGGAATTAAAGAAAAGTTTACTCTAATGCTTCTAGACTTAACTTTGACAAAATGCTTATCTGTGGTGACTTTAATCTGCCTAATGTGAACTGGTCAACCTGTACGGCCAACTCTAGTGATTCCCTACACAACTATTTTGCAAAGCTAGTCAAGGATAATTTTTTGTGGCAAATGATTGGCTTTCCTACGAGGAAGGACACTATTTTGGACTTAATTCTCACGAATTTTCCAGAGAAAATAGTAAATGTCCATGGTTTTGATTATTTGATTTTTACCGACCACAAATTGATCAGTTTTGACATTGATATGTGTATTCCAAAGAAACTTGAAACAAAGTGCGTTGTTTATAAGTTCAAAATGCAGATTGGGAGGGTCTAGCTGAAGCACTCCGTAATGTCCCTTGGGATCTGTGCTTTGAATTTGATGATGTTAGTCAGACTGCCTCAAACTGGTGCGATGTATTATATCGTCAGTAGATGACTATATACCCAAATGTACGATCAAGAGCTCAAAACGTCACACCTAGATTGATAATGAAGCTTTGTCATTAATTAAGAAGAAAAATGCAGTGCGAAGGAAAGCAGTAAAAACTGGTTTGGCAGCTGATTGGCAGAAATTTAAAGACCTGAGATGTTCTGTCAAACAGCTTCTTATGCAAAAGAGAACTGACTACACACATAAACTTGACGAATCTTTGGCAGAAAACCCGAAACGCTTCTGGTTTTTGTAAAATCTAAAACAAGAGTCAATGCAATGCCTAATTTTCTTTGTGATGGGAACGATTTGTTACCGACTACACAGCCAAAGAAACTTATTGAATAAGTTTTTCACTCAGTGTTTAATTCTGCTGAGACAGATGTATGGGACAGCTTTTCCAACTTTTATGACAACTCTGCCTTAGATTCGCATGATATACTTTCTAATGTTGAGATAACTGTTTCTGAAGTTATTAGTGAACTAAATAATATAAATCCAACAAAGTCGAGTGGCCCTGACAATATTCCAGGAATACTTCTAAAAAACACTGCCGAAGCAATCACTCCATCACTTTGTCGAGTATTTAATACGTCTCTGGGTCATGTAGCCATGATTTGGAAAAGAGCTAACATTTTGCCTGTATTTAAGGGGGACGAGCAATTTCTGGCCAAGAACTATCGGCCTATATCTTTATTATGCATTGTATCAAAAATCTTGGAACGATGTGTGTTCAATCATTGTTTCCCCGTACTTTCTCCCAACATCTATAACTTTCAACATGGTTTCATAAAGGCAGATCAACGGTAACACAACTTTTATTGGTTTACCACAGTATTTTGGACACTCTAGCGGATGGTCAAGAAGTTGATGCCATCCACTTAGATTTATCTAAAGCATTTGATCGGGTTCCCCATCGCTTGTTGCTTGATAAACTAAAATGCTATGGAATTGATGGTCAACTTTTAGAATGGTTTGACAGTTACCTTAGCGACAGGTTTCGGCATGTAGTGCTGGATGGTGCTTTCAGCGACTGGCTACCAGTGACATCAGGGGTTCCTCAAGGATCCATCCTGGGGCCTCTGTTATTTGTGATCTATGTTATTGATATGCCAAACTACTTAACTAGTAAGTCAAACCTTGCATTATTTGCAGATGACTCAAAGCTCTACAGGCCTATTACATCTATCAATTCTCGGCATGAACTACAAGCTGATCTTCACGGTTTAAATAAATGGAGCAAAGATCATAAGATCATAGCATGCCATTTAATTCTTCAAAATGCAAAATTCTTAGAATGTCAAGGAAGCGGTCACCATCAAATTCCACTTACAATTATCAGTTAGTGTGTGTTACAAACATCACAGATCTTGGAATAACAATATCAAATGACTTGTCTTGGGAGTTGCACATTGAGAAAATGTGTGCAAAAGCAAATAAAATCCTTGGCCTGGTTAAGAGCGTCTGTGGACGTGACATCATTGACATAAAGATACGTAAGCTGTTGTACATTTCATTAGCAAGAATATGTATCAAATATCTGGTCTCCTTACACAGTCAAACACCGCCGCCTCATTGAAAATGTTCAAAGCATGCAACCAAATTTAATCCTGAATTACCCGAGCCACGATATTACCTACAAGAGTAGAATGGAATCACTTGACATGCTTCCCCTGGAATTTAGAAGAGAGATCAGTGATCTGATTCTTTTATTCAAGTATAGAATTGGTCAATTTGATGTTGACTTCAGTCAATTTTTTACACCTGTCAAGATCCGAAGAATAACTACGCGTGCGTTTGACATTAACAACTACCGTCCACTATCAACCCATAATCAAAACTATTATCGGAAATCATATTTTCCAAGATCCATTGAACTATGGAATAAATTACTATCTAGCTTAAAGTGCTTATGTCACAAAATTTTTTTTTGATATTTGGTAGAGGACAAAAAGTTAGTTAATAGGTTCTGTAACATTTTTCGGTTTTCTCTTTTCATTCATGAGATATGAGGCTCTAAACATTGAAAAATTGGATTTTAGTGAAAAATTGTCGCGCCCGAGAATAAAACGGGAAAGGGTCTGGAGCGAGAACCGTGTGACGTAGCTTAAGGGACGGAAGTTCGAATTCACATGTGAAGGAGTAATAAAAAGCTATTGGGAAGATATATGTTTTCCAGCACTCATGGTTCTCAATGTGACTCAGAATACAATTATATTCCTGGGTATATTTTATACAGGATAAATCAAATGATACTAGTCACGAAATTGGAACTCTAGAAGCAGTTGATAGCGAAATTTTAGGCGATTATGATGCATATTGCCTTTATGCCGATGAGCTGCTAGCGAGCCAAGAATGCTACGCGCGATATCTAAAACTATGTGGAACACAAGGAACAAAACAAGATGCTAGAACGAAGGTTAGACAGCCTTGAAGATATTAAATCATGGTGAGTGTAAACATAGATTTATTTAACATTTTAACGTAAAATAAGTATCTCTGGCTGATATATTTTTGATACGGCATCAGTCACATCAAACCACACTTCCCTCACCTGTATCACATTTCACAAGTGTAAATGCGGCGATTGTGTGATAATAGATATGCACACAAAGCTTGGTGCTGTCAGGGGATGGAATCTTGTAGGGAAGTTCTGAAGGATAACTTGGTTTTAGAAGATGTGCCACAGCCGCCATGCTGTATCACTCTACACTCGGGATTCAGACCTATTTGTTTGGAAAAATGGGCTCTAAGAAAACTTGCGAGAAAATACAATCGTTCAATCGTTCGTATTAAATAAATGTGATCACAGATAAACACTGTAGCTTCAAACAAGAATATATACGTAATTTGCTCTGAACCAGTCTGTTTATATTTTCTTTGATCTTGTGTCTTATATTTTCTTGCGAAGGTGAGGGAAGTGTGGTTTTAAATCTTTGATGCGACTGATGCCGTATGAGCCTGTATCCCGCAAAATATATTAGCCAGAGATACTTATTTTACGTTAAAATGTTAAAATAAATCTATGTTTACACTCACCATAATTTAATATCTTCAAGGCCATCTAATCTTCGCTGTAGCATCTCATTTTGTTGCTTGTGTTCTGCTGATTTTTTTAGATATTGTGCGTACCATTCTTCGCCGGCTAGCGGTTCATCGGCATAAAGGCGTGCATCATAATCGCCTAAAATTTCGCTATCAACTGCTTCTAGAGTTCCAATTTCGTGACTAGTATCATTTTGATTCATCCTCTATAATATATCCAGGAATATAATTGTATTCTGAGTCACATTGAGAACTATGAGTGCTTTCCGAATCCGAACTACTGCCTGACATGCTGGAAAATATATCAAATGTGTAATGCGCTTCGAAATTAAGTCCCTTAAGCTACGTCACACCACGCTCGTCCCAGACTCTTGTTGATATGCGACAATTTTTAAAAAAAAATTGCTGTTTAGAGCCTCGTATCTTGCAAATCCGAAAACAAAGAGAAAACCGAAAAATGTTACAGAACCTATTAACTAACTTTTTGTCCTCTACCAAATATAAAAAAAAATGAACCTCCCTAATATTAATGTATTATATGTATGTGTGTATGCATCTTGTAGCGTACTTTATATAGAGACTTTTATACTTACTAATGTTAAAGGGGTAAATGTCAATTGGGAATTATCCTGTTTTTCCCCTGTTGTGACCATAATCATGTTTGTGTTGGTACGTTTGTAAATATATTTATAGTGTTGTAAAGTTTTGCGACGAATTTAATTAAAATTAAACTTAAACTTTCACTTTTGCTTCGGCACAACTAATAACTTTTTTTACCACCACCATGTACCACCCCTGGTCCAGTATATCTTAACCTAAAGGATTAGAACATTGGTGGTCATTGATTTAATAATTTAACAAGATGCTCTATGGAGCATTAACTTGCTGGGACTATACAGATACACACACCTTTGCTGTATCATTGCACCTATTTCAATTAACGTTGTCCATGAGCAAAGCGGAAAAGTCGAATATAAGCGAGAAAGGCTCCTGGGAATCGCTAACAAATTAATGAATTTTCAAAGTGGTTCCCAGTAGCCTTTCGCGCTTGTATTCGACTTTTCCGCTTTGCTTGTGGACAACCTTAATTGAAATAGCTGTATGACACTAGGTACAGTACACAGCTATTTGAATTAAGATCTAAGCGTGAACTGGTTTAATAACACAGTACTAAAATGTGGTGACCTACAAATAAAACTTCCAGCTTATATTTAGTACCGCTACATTCTTCGGTATGCTGCCAGTTGGTCAGTACGCTTGAATTAAACTGCGCCTTCAAAATAAAATATTTGGGGGCTTTTGGGCTCAAAAATACAAAATATTATCAAAATAAAGAGAGAATTGAGACAATTCACTGGTATACAGCCGAAAAAGAGAAAACCAACGATACCAAAGTTATCAAGAATCAAACGTACTGCATTTTTTATCATTTGAGCGATTTGTCAACAAATAAAACAATTTCGCTTGGCTTTCAAAGACAAAGGTCCTAAATCGCTACAATACTGTTGTCAGTTGTTTTGTAATGCATTTTACATCCGTAGGTACAATTTCACATTCGTCTAAGTACAATTTCTTACACTGAATCGAACGGTGGTACGCTATTACTATTAGGCAATACAAATACAAGGACAAACATACTGCGAGTGATTTACCAACAATACCGACAACGATTTGTCAATACAATTTTGCTTGATTTTCAAAGGCCATAAATCGCTAGAATACTGGTGTTTAGTAATACATTTGGCATCCGTAAGTACATTTTCGTACGCTGAATCGAACGGTGGTGTTTTTATCCTTATTGCGCCATTAATATAGGCATTACAAATAAATATCATATTTCACACTGACTACACTGCAGTGACTGCACTAGTTTTCACAGACTGTTGTTCGATAAATTTCATATTGATATGACACCAATATGCTTCTCACAAAGTAGTTATTTATTAAAACTATGTTGTGCAGTTCAAGTTATAACTTTTTACCTTGAAATTGTCTTTGGCTCGTTTATATTCAGATTCAGTATATTATGATCATGCATGGGAATTCAACAATCCAAATTTCGGATTTTCAGAGTTGTGCACTGAGAAAAATGCATTAAATAAACCAACAAGAATGTCCAGAGCTAATTAGACACAATGCAAAATCCATAGAAAACAGGTAAAATTCGTTCAAAATTTTCACGAAATTGTTTGAAACATTTTGCCCACTCCACGAATGTCCCCATCATTTTGAAAAGGATCAAGCAGCTCATTAACTCAATTCGATCCGCCAATATTAATTTCCGACGTATATGACGGGAAGATTAAATAAAGATCTTTGCGAGTATTTGCAGCAGACATACGAAAATACCACCAAAAATTCAAGATGTAATACTTGATTCCGCTTGATCGATACTATATATTCAGAAATATTCATATAATTTTATTGTTTCTCGCTCAATTTCAAGCGACAATTTCAACCCCTAGTAGCACCTAAAAGGGAAGTAGAGTTCTGATGAGTCATGAGAACCCCACTCACCAACCCAGAGGGAAGGTAGGGGGATGAGTAGAGATAGAGGGAAGCCCAGCCATTAGGACCTAAGGTTTCGAAAGCTCCCTGTCTAGCATCCCCACTAGGCCCCATAGTACATGACGGATATGATGATCCTGATGCTAGGAATGTTCTCCCAGATTTTGCTCCTCACTGACATGTCCGGGATCCATTTCGATCAACTGTCAGTTTGAGTTCATTCGGCTCAATGAACTGTGAGCTTGAGTTCATTCGACTCTTTTTTACTAAGGGAATGCTTCAGGAGGTAGTTTCCTGGCCATACCAATACATATGCCCACATACAAATAACTCAAAAGTTATCCCCATATACTAATAAAGAAGGGTCTTGCAGTCCACCAACCTTGAGAGGTTGATTGCCTTTTAGTATAATATGAAGGTTTGCTAAAGGTCGACAGTGAGATTGAAAATTATTGGAGGGTAAAAACCTTATATCATGGTCTGTGGGCAATAGACATAATTTCTCGGGTTAGGTACAAAGCGCTTATGGCGTTTGTGAATATGGTAGATCCTGTACTAAAGACTACAGCAATAAACTGCATCAACAACTGTACCAGCCGTCACAGAATATTGTTGTTGCACACAAACACACTGTCAAATCAAGAAATAGGTTGGGGGTTAGGCAGTTCATGAAAGCTAGATGACCTACTATGTGGGTTGCTGCAGACAATCCTAATGGTTATATTGCAACTTTGAAATTTATACAGGAAGAAGTCCAGATATTCATCGCAACAGATTTGGGTATGACGTGGTGATCTGATATCAGTTTGGTTACAGTCTTAGGTCTTTTGTAGTACAATATAAAGGAAATATTTTCACCACATAATACAATTATGTGCTTTGGCAAACATTACTGCTTTAGCAAACATTACTGCCTTGGAAAACATTACTTTTTTATAACTAGTAATTATGATGATGCCAGTCCAACAACACTTGGTCATACTATTTGCAAATATTTTCATGTTCTAGATTGTGAAAACAATCAATTTCTAAACAAATGAGTAGTGATTATTTCAAATTTGAATAGCATGACCAAATTTTGAGACTGGTTATGACACTAATAACTAAAGTCAATGGTGTAATGATTATCTAAGAATGTATGTAGTAATTGTAGAAATAAAAACATTTTGCTAATCATGATTTGAGTGTTCTTTTGTGGGTATCACAGACTTATTTTGGTGCCATACTATCTTTGGAGAGTAAGAAATATTGGAAATTTGTATTGGTAACAAGTTGCAGCAATAAAAAAGGACCTTTGATAAAGGTATTTGTTTCATGTGAGCACAAAATGTAAATTTTACTCCACTACCTAGTTTATATAAAAATTCAATAAAAATATTTCTATTTATGCTATATGCATGAAACTTCGGGTACTTGCAGATCATAACCGTGTCTTTCAGTCATATTCATAAATTTTTTTGACATATTTGAAATTTGAACCGCTAAATACATTTATGCATAATTGCAACATTTTTTTATATCATAATTTATGCAAATTTATGCGAGTAAATCGTTAACCAAGCTCCGGATGAAAGCAGAAGTCCTCCTCTTTCGAACGATGTAATTTCTGTTTCCGTGCGATGTATAGTGTGAGAGATATAAGCGTTTGAAACAACACCACTCGAAATTGCTACTTTTCCACTGGATGGGAATGAGTTAATATTCTATTTTGTGGCTATCGACGATTGGAGATCCACTATCCACTATCTGTGACAAATGCATGCTGAAACCTATACTCACCTGGGCACAGGTGCCCCAGCGAGTAATAAGATTCGGCAACTACCTAAAAATACAATGCAGTGGCAGGAGCTAGAATTAAAGTTATGTGGATGCAAGAAGATGTTGGTGACTTGAATTGGACACCAGGTTGGTATGCAGGAGAAGTGCAAGAGTCCGATCCTGAAAATGATGAGATCACTGTCTAATTTGTCTTGGAACCCACAGCTACCTATATATATATATGAGGTCAGAACATCAGTTGCACATCGAAAACTGAAAATGTCAAAATCCATTTTCTAAGGCATTTTCACATGGTCACTCTAAGCCGCCATACCAGCAAAGGCAAATTTAAAGATTTCATAAATAGTTGTGTTTACATTCATTTTCAACTGACTATACAATGGAGGTTTGCTTTCCAACTTTGTATTTATGTTTCATATTTGGAAAACTGGACAGCGAATTTAGAAACAAACTTCATAATGAACTTCCTTGATGAATTTGTGAATTCAGCCTGGCAATTTTTGAAAAACCCCATAGTTTCATTTGTAATACTTGATAATTCTAATATTGACATTCACTGAAGCCCTGTTTACACTACGCTCAATTTTTGGTACGGCACAGATAAAATTGGTACCTCAGGTGGTTTAATGACTGGGTCAGGTTTCACAAGTAGCAATAAATAATGAAAAATAAAGAAAATATTATTTTACAAGCATTTTAAGTAAAACTGGCCCGGTTTTAAGCGTTAATGCTGTTCAATATGATTACAGAATTTTTTTAACGAACACAGAATTTTGAAAAACTGGTTACGTGACCAATTATTAGTCTAAAAATAGTAGCAAAAGCATTGTTCTTTTTTGACTGCCTTGCAGGGAAGGATAAGAGAGTCATTGAAAAATATTTTAATTGTTAATGCATTGTCAAGGAACCCCTCTATAATATTCAACCTTGTATCTGTGGAAATCGTGTATTATAACAGCGTAAAATGGATTCTAAGTCGAAACTTGCGTTCCTATTTCCATATTTTCGCACATTAAAGTTAGTTCTAGCGCAAATCATTTCACTTTACGAGTTTTCCTAGCAATTTCAAAATATTTTCCAGATTAGTAGCGCTTAAGCCTTAATGGTTGATAATAAAAACCTCTCCTGCAAGACCGTTGAAGTTTGACATTCGCAAAGTAAATAGATCATAACATAAGCGCCATTTGTGTCAAATGAGCCCTGGTTGTAAATACAGCGGATTCCCACATAGCCGTGGCAACCCGAAACGCTCAAAATGGTGATACTGGCGATCATAATAACTTGGAAGGCATAATTCGTGTTTCAAGATACATTCTGCTTTTCGCATTGTTAAAACTGACGATTTAATACACGGAAAGTAAATGTATATGTGAGAGGAATTAGCTAATGTATGTGCGAAGCATACAACAGAACTATTTTTCACACAAATCTATGCAGAACTTTGTATCATATGATAGCACGTCTACATGTTATAATATAATAAAAATGTATAGCAAAGACGACATACTAAGTATCTTAGATTTCAAAGGCAATATTGCGTAGGTGAAATTCATGAGTGTTATGATGAAACAAGAGCCTTATTCATAAGTGATTTAAGATTATAATCTGTCAAAACTGGACGCGCATGATTAAAATTAAGGTGCCAGATTCAAAACTTGCTTCGATCGACTAACGTTTCGAAGTGTGCGTATACCTAAAATTTATCAAAGTGTTTAACTTTAACGGTATGGTTGTAAGTCTTATTCACCCACATACGTGTGGATTTGTGAAGGCAGCAAGCAATTTGGCAAAATACCAGAGATGCTTCAGTCAAAATAAAGCACGTCAACATGAAATGCCATATCAGCATCGCGTGCATACTGTTCAAGTTATTCATTAACGTTTCTCCCAAAGTTTACCCGGCAAGAAGTTCGCAGTTGACTTTAAAACCTTCATGAGGAAACTGCCAGACTTGCGCAAAAAAATCAGCAACTAGAATCCCAGGAAAAAGACGGAACACAAGCAATATTTCGAGGCTTTCTCCGCAGATAACTGGAAGGCATTGTTGATCAAACACAAGGCTGAGCATAGCTTGACAGACTGTCGTGCCTCTTTCCACAAGTATTCAATACAACAGTCGTTATTTCCTGTCCAATCCAAGGAATTTCAAGGCTGTTTAAAACAAAATCCAGCGATCGTGGCAAAAAATATTGCTGGTAAAATAAGTCAACAACCCGGCCAAGTGAAATGCACCCAATGTGAGTATCAAGCTGGCGTTCAGAAGCTTTATGACGAAATCAAACCAGTTTTCGTTAACGTCTCTCTTGAGAAAGCCCTGACAACTCTTCCAACCCTGAACATTCAGATGAGTAAGAGTGCCACTGAAAGAAAAAGAGAACGATGCAAACAATTACGTAAAGCGAAAACATCCATTGAAAAACACTGGAAGAGTACATCTGTAATGAGGTACGTATGTTAAATTTCACTAATTATAAATTTCATTTGTAACAGATTATGATAAACGTACTCGTAATACAAGGGTAAATATATTGCTAGGAAAGCTATAAAATGTAATAAATCAATGTAATCACATGATTAAGGTGCTATGGAAACCGCCAATCATTATCAGCTGCACAAAGATCACGCCTCACTATGGCATGTGAAAGCAAGGATGATCTGAAGAAGCAAAATGAGATGAGCAATGGTTTCAAAAAACATAATCCTGTTGGGAATGTGAACAATAGAGTATTCGAGCGAGAGAAAATGAAGGAAGTAGAAAGTATCCTGATGGTATTGCTGTCAACTGGTCAGATCTGGCTTGGCAACACAATATCACCAACACCAAGGGGGAATTGGCAAAAAATGGAGGGCAGATAGCTCAGGAGTGGTTAAAAAATGAGGGCGTGAACATTAACAGGTTCAAACGTAAGAATGATGAAAGTGATATACGAGTCCGGAGAAAGAAACTTAGGGGACAAGGAGGGGAAATTACGGTTGCAACTCTGCAGAATATTGACAAGGTGAAAGCTGAGATAAGGAAGATTTCATCTGGCGAATATACTGTTGGGCAACAAATCGCACCAAGAAAGGTCAGTGCCAAACAGTATAATTTTATTTCATTGCTATGATAGACAGGAAAAAATAATGCAATAATCAGATGTACTGTAGATTTCTCTAGGGTCTGATCTATTACAGGGTATGTATTGTAAGTAATTTGTTAATCATTAATCTTGAAGCTAACATTCCATTCCCCATTTTCATCTCGATTTTAGTATGAAAAGATGGCATTAAATGAAAATGGAGAGATAGTTAGATCTGAGTTTGTTGTGGAAGGACGAAAGCAGCCTTTGGTCGAGATTAGAGAACGAACATCGAAAAGCCAGGAGAAGTACATGCAACAACGATGTGATGATGAGTATGATAAAACGACAAGTGAAACTTTGATAAGGTGTCTCAAGGCAATAAACAAGTACCATGAAGACGAAAATGTGCAGTTGATGCAGAATAGGCCAAAAGATATTGAGAGAACAAGGCATCTGAAAGTTTGGCATGATCTATCAACGATTGCTAACCACAGCCATTTGGTTTTTATGGTGTCATCACTATATGATCCTGCAATCCATTACCTTTATAGGGAGTACGAAAATCTCACTGGCTGCAAAAACAGACATTCAAACAAAGGTGGAAATGCCGGAAGTCTACATAGTTGCGTGGTCGGGAAGTTCAGATGTTGAACAACTCACATACGTTGATACACATAGAAGAACTAAGCATCGATATAAAGACTATATAAGAAGAACTAAGCATCGATATAATGCACTCTTCTTTCACGGTGACAGTCCTGCGCATCAACTCGAATCAGGTCAGCAAAAAGGAGGAAACTTCTATTGTTCTGGATGTGGTGCAAATGCGCACCAGGCATATCAGCTGGACATTTGCTTTTCTTGCCACTAATAAATCGGCAACAGTTGGTACTCGCTGCACCTCTTGGAAGAAAAAAATTCTCTGGCAAAAGCTCCCAAGCCATTTCAAAAGTTAAAGAAAGATGAACTTATTCGAGAACTGAATGCCAGAGGAATCTATGAAGGGGAGTCAAAGAAAGAGCTTGACAAGATTTTGACAGAGGAACTCCACAGCGTTCAGAGAGTACCTGCTTTTGCTTTACAACAACCCAACAGCTACCCTGGAATTCATCAACTGTTGACAAGTATGAAATACTTAGTTTTGAACCCCTCCACGACATAGGCAAACACATTGAAAATGTTCTAGCCGAACTCCCTTTTCATCTCCCAGAAAAAGAATCTGCTGCTGTGAAGGTCATCAATTGCTCCATTGGTGGTAAGGATACCAAGCGCACATTTGATTATAGATGTGCACTTATTATCCTTGCAAAACGTTCCTCAAAGAATGTAACATCCAACATTGTCCAGCAACTATTGACCACCTTGGTAGAAATCCAAAGAATTGCCTACAGTTCGGAATCTGAGGGGACCCCAAAATCAGTCCTGCGTCTTCACAACATGACATGGCACCATGGGATCTTGTGCAGAGAGGTGTTTGGTTTCAAGCTAAAGGAACAATGTGCAAATTGTATGGCAACTACTACCACAACATCACCAGCCATGCTGCCATGCAGCATCGACTAATTAATGGCAAAGCCTGTAATGTTGAAGAGCAAGAACAGATTTTCAACACCATCACCAACATCACAAAGTCAACATCCTCCTACCACCCAAGTCACATCATTGGCAATATCTTCATCCGACTGCAAGCTGAGAAACAGATGCAAGCTTTTCAAGGCTCTTCTTCCTTGAATCAGGAAACATCTGTTTCTAAGCTTGCAGACTCCCTACTACCATATGGAAACACCATCATTTCTGGAGACATTATAAAGAAGCACATAAGATCATGGCAATCTCATCTAGAAAGGATTAGTGACTTCCTCTTACCTGGCAAAGGAAGCTGATGGCTTGAAGATGAAAGTGGAAATGTGGAATTCTTGGATGGGGAAAAGGCAGCAAGCTCTCACACAGGAGGTCCTATACTTCATCATTTTCGCTCGAGTAGTTTTAGTAGAGAGGAAGAGTACCTTCAAAAGTGTTGGAATGAAGGCTTAAAGAATGGCGTAACCCTTCCTATCAAAGATATTAGAGTTGAAGATAAGCATGGTCAGTTGAAGGTAATAAGAAGATCATTGGAGGAGATCAACACCACAAATGGCAACATCAATGTTGGTATTGAGGAATAATCAGTTACAGGTGTAATGCAGTCTTAAATCATATAAACAATTTTAAGGAACTCAAAAAATTTCAACATGGTAAGGCCTAAAAAAATGCCTGTGGTTCCAGTTTCATATCGTGAAAAAATTAGGGTCAGTAGGTCAGAAATATTTTTTTTTAAATATTTTTTTCATGGTTTTGGCAGTTTTTTGCTGGGCGATTTGCAGTAGAGTCCCGACTAACCTTGTTCCCAGGCTCACAAGAGGGAAGAGCCTGGGAACGAGGTTGAGTCCCGACATCAATATTAACTAGAGATGCGTATTTCCTATGGACGAATTTACTAATTTGGGCAATTTGGTTCAATAATTAGTGACAACAGATGGAATTTTGGCACACTGTATGAGCAGCCCGTAACCATCCAGAGCAAATAAGGTTGCACAGTCAATCGCGTTGAAAAAAATTAATACTCTTAATCGGGTTGGCAGAAAAAAAAAGGTCGGTCGGGAACCGGAACCACAGCAGTACAGGCAACCTCATACCAGTGGTCTTTTCCTCTTGGGGAGAAAAGACCCTGGTAGACACTGCTCACATGATCTGCTTAAACATAGCAGATTTCTAATTAACTACCTTGGATTCTTTACAACAACCGTACAAAATGCAAATTGTAAATTGAACAAAAAAATATCCAAATATCAAATATTTATTGACCTCATTTTGGATTGCTAATTAAAAATCCGCTAGATCTTAGCTGATCATGTGACCAGCATCTACCAGAGTCTGTTCTCCTCTCGCCAAAAAGAAAGACCCTGGGTACAGTACGAGGTTGCAGTACATGCAGGCACGATTAGGTACATCCAAATTAATGTTATTTTAGTCTGTCTAATGCCAGATGAGATGATTTTAATCATTAATTAATGAAATGCCTCTTTAATGGGTTAACTTGTCAAATTACAAGATCCTTTTTCACTATATATGTTAAACCTAGCTTGTATACCCAGGGTATTTTCTCAGTGAGCAAAATACCCTGGTATGGACTGATGTCACCCCCAGATTTTGCATAAAATATCATATTCCTAGTAGAAATATGCTATTTTACTCAAAATCTGGGGGTGACATCATCAGTGCATGGTGTACTAGGGTATTTCGCTCCCCGAGAAATACCCTGGGTATGTGGTTATATATGTTGATGCTTTACAATACAGGTACCTGCCAGAAGAATTTCCACAGCCAGATATTGTTGGATTTGAGCTCCAACCTGATGAGACCATTAATTTACTATCCATGTACCCTGAAGACAATGATCAATACAAAGATGAAATGACAGTTAATCATTCAACAATCAAGAGCAACATTGCAACTGAAACACACGTCAATACCATTTGGTAATTACTGGTATATATACATTTAGAACACACCTTATAGAATGATAATACTTACATTAACAGTAATTATAACCAATTCTGCAAAATCACAAAAGAATGATAAATAAACAAACACAAAGAATATAAAATAAACACAAAATAGAAACAAGCTAACAAATTACCTGGGGGGGGGGGCAGGGCCGTAGCTAGCATGTATAGTTGTTGGGGGTAGGCCAAAAATTTGCGAATATTTAATGACCTATGAAGCCACAAATGTGTTTGCCATCTGGAAAATGAAGATGCAATTTACAAACAAAAATACGCATATTTTATGCACAGACGTATTACAGAAGCATGCAGTGCCATAGGAATCTCTTTTTGCTTGGGGCTTGAGAATGAGGGTCAAAGGCCTGAGGAAATTTTTAAATTTAGAGTCTCTGAAATACTAGTCTTCTTTGCAGCCTGTTCGTGGGTGCGATGTTTTCTCCCCACTCACAGGCTGCTTTCAAGAGCACAACATTCCATTCTGATTCATAAACCAATCAAAAGCTTGCTTCTAAAAAACGTGAAGTGCTAACTCGGCAAACAACTGGCAAGAGTCATATGAAAACAAAATGGCGGACATTGTAATAGTACAGAATAAATATCAGAAGTTAGCGATACGGAAAATCGTTCTGGAAGATAAGGAAGTTTTTGTTAACTTGCCAACTGGTAGTGGTAAATCTCTTTATATTTACTAGGGATTACCAGTCATTTTTGACACAAAGGTAATAATGAGAACGTCGGTGCACATTGTAGTGGTCCTATTGCCACTGTTAAATTTAATAAACGACCAGGTGAATCATCTCAATTGTTTGGGCAGGTTGGTTAATTTGAGTAACGTAATGAATGAAAAAGAGCGCATTATAGTGGAACACGGGGCGTTTTCTATTGTTTACGGTACACCTGAAGCTTGGTTGAAGAATGAGGAATGATGTGATATATAATTTGCACAATTGACCATTTGCATAATAGACTAAATTTTGATCTCAACAAAAATTTTATTACAGCTGGAAAGAGCATCACAAAATTAGTAATATTCCAAAGTTTCGTTGCAAAATGTTGTAAAATGCGGAAAATATAGCCTTGTGAAATTTGCAATTTTCAGTCATTTTAGATTACAAACCGGAAATTGACAGCCTCGAAGGGTTTGGGGCTGTCAATTTCTCGTTTGTAATCTAAAATGACTGAAAATTGCAAATTTCGCAAGGCTATATTTTCCGCATTTTACAACATTTTGCAACGAAACTTTGGAATATTACTAATTTTGTGATACTCCTTCAAGCTGTGATGAAATTTTTGTGTAGACTTGTTTAGTTCAAAATTTAGTCTATTGCGCAAATGGTCAATTCCGTTTACTCGGAAAAACGTTATGTTATCGCTATTGATGAAGCTCACATTCTGAATTATAGTTATTTATAGTGCATTCTAGTTATAATTAGTAATTATTTATTATTTTATTTAACAACTTTATTGGTGCCATAAATTACTTTAAAATAATTTGTACAATATCAACTGGCCCAAAAGGGAAGCTGCGAACGAGACTATATAGAAGTCCCATGCAAGGCATCTCCCTTCTCTAATAAGTAATAACAGATATTTATAAATATATATTATAAAACTATGAAAACAATAAAAGTAGCAAAACATTCAGACTGGAGTGAATGATGACTTGGAGATCAAGTTAGTCAAACTCTCTTGGAGTGATTAGTTAACATGACGCACGAAACATCATCATCCGTTCCTATTTGGATGCCTTACTTCTAAATAATTAGTTTACTCTATGTCCTATTGCATTGTACTGTGCTTGAACAAAATTGTCATATAATTGTATATGGAAAATTAAATTAAACAATCCCATCCCACCCCCCTCAAATAGGCCCCTTCAAAGAAGCCTGAAAGCATAAGCCTGGAGGTTTATTATATTAGAGAGATTATGGTATATCTGATAAAGATTATATATTAATAATAACCATTTATTATTAATATATACTCTTTATCAGATATACCATAATCTCTCTAATATGCAATATATACATTAAAATAATACATGTTAATCTATAGGGTCGGTATGTGAGCAATATGTGTTTGTTATTGTTGTATCCTTACTGTATATATTAGCCATAATAATTTTGTTTTTTTATATACCGAGAAAGTAGAATTTTTGCTAATGGTCATTCCAATTTCCAGAATGTTTAATAATGTGTACGTGTACACAACCCCCACAAAGGAAGTGGGACACTAACCCCTCTTCCTCCATCTTAGGGTATTTTGTTACTATCTGTTAACTTTTCTCTTTGAGGAGGGCAATGATCTTTTCTGGAATAACTCACAAACACTATTTACTGTCCATGGAATTCCTAGTCTCATATGCAACTTGTTCATGGGGCCATTCCATTTAATATCCACATTGACCAACCCCCCTTTGGATGGAGGTTAGTAAAATTTTAACCCCTTAGAAAAAAAAATTTCAAAGTGCCAACACAAAACCCCCCTAAGGTGTTTGTAAATTTTCCCCTTACCCCTCCAAAAATCTCAGTCACCCTTCAGAAAAATTCATCCATAGGTATTAAATGGAATGGCCCATGGGTGCAAGTATAAACAGACTGCTTAAGAGACAATCCCAATAAACCCACAAATGATTAACCAGGCTAACTGTCAAAGCGACTGTTATCCTTACCATGTTTTATCATTTTATAGTATAAGAATCATAGCACAGTACAACTAATTTGGATAGAAAGCATGAAACTTGGTTTTATTATTATTGTTTTCCACTTTAATTTCCAACTAAAACAAAAGATGGCTAACGAACACGTTTATAAAGTTTGTAAACAAACGTGGCGTGAAATCGACAAATTAAATTTGTAGTATTTATAGGCATTTATAATGACAGAAGCTTGATAAATTAACGATTTTGCTTTTTGAAGGTGTTTCCGAGGAGAAAATAACACCTGGTTTATGAAGGGCATAATATTATTTACATGACATGCAAGACAAACAAGTGTAATGCTGACAAATGTTAATAAAAGAACGTTATAATGTAGCAATTTTGTTGTACTGACGAAATTGACATGTCAACAAACCACATCAGTAACAATTTGACAATAAATATTAATAAAATTTTATATATGAAAACCACATAATTTTATAAATGATTTTTAAATATGAAAACGCATTGAAACACATGCACCTCACAAACAAAGATGGTGTGGGAATTGTGCATCGTTTACCGTGATACAAAATGCATTTGGAAGCAAAGAATACAAAAATATGTAATATATATACTTACAACGTCAATAGTCAAATGCATGATTATTGAATAAACACACTTCAATCTATCTGGAATT